AAAAGTAGCAATTTTTTGACAAAAAATGACTGTCCAAACAAGACCTTAATTTTCTAAATTTAGCGGATGCTATAATACACTCGTCTAATTTAGAAGTAGTTTAGTCTCCTCCCATTTTCAATAGTCACGTTAGGCTTGTTCCCTTCTTTCATAATATATGAGTAGTTATTCTTGACGTTTATCAACATAAGTAGATAACGTCCCAACAGAATTCAGCCAAAACTTTCGTCGTCCTCTCACGTGCCCGGCATGTGGATTAGAAGCATTTAGTCCTTCGCGCCTCGCGCGTTAGCTTCCCACCTGGCCTCGCTGCCAGTATCTCATGTGCTTCTGCTGCATTCTTTCTTCCCGCTGCCTTCTCTCTGCAGCTACTCTCTCTCTCTTTCTTCTGTCATTTGTTTTCCTCTTTTATCTTTCTCTTCTTTCCACAACAATGTTGCTCTGTCCTCTCAATTTCTCTCCCTTTTCCTCTAGGGTTACGTACATCCTCATACTTTGTCCATTCGCTCCTCCTCCTCCTCCGCCGGCGCACTGTCTCCCTCTCCTCTATCGCCTCCTTTTCTACCTAGCATCAGAGGTCCGCTTTCTCCCACTGGCCCTGGGATTCCCCTTTCGCCTCCTTCTGCTTCAAGTTCAGCCTCGCTGTTCCCTTTTTTTTTATACCATTTCTCCTCCACCGCCGCACCTTCTTCCTCTCGTTTATCTCTCAGCCTTTGAGAGGCCTTTCAATTCCGTAGCAAGATCCTCGCCATCATCGGCATCTCTCACTGCCTTTCCTCCCTAGATCTCCAGACCCTCCGGACCCAGACCCTCACCCTTTATAGGCTCAACTCCTCCAGATCTCCAGACCATCCTTGCTTGGAGGAAACAGAGAAAGAGATCAATTAAAGCATCTTCCTTTTCCCTTTTTCCTAACCCTAAGCTGACCCGCCTTTCATCCTCGCCGCTCTTCCTCACACTTCCTCTCCCTTCCCTGCCCTTTCCTCTCCCTATCCCATCTTACTACATACAGTTTACTTCTTTATTCACCGGCACTCGAATTCGAGTATAATCCTCGTCTGCCGTCCAAAACAACCTGCGGGAAGTTGGATAAAGGTTTGCCTTTTTTTTTCCTCAATCGGTTTTTCATACTCTGTTGTCTTATCTTACGAGGTAATGGGTCTGGATTTGAAGCAGGTGCATCAACGATTGTAAGATTTTTCTTGGTGGGGTCTTGTCATCAGATGCGTAAAAGGAGAGATGGGGTTTAGTAGCTGTTTCAGTGCATCTGGTTCTTGCAAGGGACGAATAAAGCACATGTGCCATGAGGTAAGAACCAAGAATATTTCAATTTTTAGTTTAGGCTTGAATGGAGGTTTTTCCCAATTATTGCTAAATTTGAGCATGGTGATAATTTTGTTGATTGGATTTAACATTCTTGTTGAAAGTGAAATACTCTATAAGCCATTTCTGTTTTCTTGAGGGATTTGCGTGTTGTACGCATGAAAATGAGAGGTATTAATGAGTGAAAAGGGATTTGCCATGAAATTTTTTGTTAGTTATCATCTGCTAAAGCAAATGTCTCCAAACTTGAACTACAAATTAGGCTGTTAATATCATGCTCAAAACTTTAACAGTTTACAATTAGCAATTGAACCTGAATTTATGTTTCCCGATTTCCAATTTTCAACTCTAGATATTCCCCAGGCAAGCACAACCTTCAAGCTTCTCATCATAACTATGCGTCCTTAGGAAACATCTGTTTTTTCTAACTTGATAAGTGGAGCCGATCCATGTATTCTTAAGGTAGCTATGTTACCCAGTTTAGAGTTGTTTGGTTCAGAAAAAGTTAACATCAGAAAAAGCTCCAAAGTCAGGTTTCAGTTTGAGCTTAATCTAAGCGGGACATAAGTGCCTTTAGCTGCTCACAACTTAGATAACAGTTTCAGTTCAAAGATATAAGAACCTGAATTTTTTTTGTGAGATTTATGCTGCATATTTTAGGATGGGTGTTATGGTTTCATCTGAATAGTGCATATACTAATCTACAACTCTTTTCCATGATTTTGTATATGATCACTTCTGATTCTCTGGTTTTCTATCTGCTTCTGCATGGTTAGAGCTTGCTACCAGCAATGTCAGGCTATTCTCATACAACTCTTTGAGGTCAGCAACAGGACACTTTCTCTCCTCAAACTAGAATAGGAGGCGGCGGTTTTGGAGTAGTATAAAGGGTATGATCAATCTTAGTTTGTGTGTCTGCATAAGTTTTACTGTTATGGCAACTTTGCTTCGAAGAGTAATATAGAGGAGAGAAATGAGGAACTAAGCTATTATGGTACCTTACCAATACCATTCTTATGTTCGGTCCTCCTCAATTTGTTAGCTCTTCATAGAGGCTCTTATCCAATTTTTTGTACTATTACTTGCTTGCATCTCACCTTAAAATTACTTGTTAGAGAACTAAACATGGTGCAATGATATTGACATGTGTGTAATTCCTTATGATCTGGTGGATTAAAACTTCTGTTGGCTATTGAATAAGATGAGTAAATTTCTTATATCAAGAATTCAACAAGAATGAAACAGGCAGACCTTGATAATTGTCTACTATATGATGGTTTATATGTGTAGGTATGCATTCAAGTGTCATCGAAAATCTGGAGCTGGAAGGGACATTGTCTACCCCATTGAATTCAATTGCATTTCATCTCATATAAGTGCTGCATATACATTTATCCACAATAAAGAGATTATTGTTCAGCAGTCATTCATTGGAAGTTGGCTTGTATGGCCTTTTTGTTTTTTTTTTTTCAAGTTTTGTTAAGAAAGAAAATCAATGCTAAGATATTTCACTAGTGGAGCTATCTTTTCTTGATTTATTTTATGTTGAATGATTGAGTTGGATCTATTACAATTTTCTATTGATTGAATATCTTTAGCCTCTTCCCGTAATCTATCTCAAAACTGATTTAAATATGCAGCTATGGTACATTTGCTACTGGGGATTGTGATGGTTATGTTAGTGTGTGGGATGGAAACAACAAAAAAAGGCTGTATCAGGTACTTTTTCCACACTGAATTTGAAGTGTCTTCAACTTCATGATGACAGTGCTCACTTTAGTACAAACATTTATGTTTTTCTTTCTTTTCTTCAGTCTCATTCAACTTACAGTACTCAAAATACCCAGCAAGCCGTGTTGAAGATGTTGAGGGAAAATAAGGACCGATTTGACTTAGTACTTAGGGATGTTCATATGCCTGACATGGATGGCTATAAGCTTTTGGAGCTTGTTGGACTTGAAATGGACCTTCCTGTCATGAGTAAGCAAACAAACTTTCTCTTCTATGTCATTCGAGAATGTTATGATTACTCCTTTCTGGAGTGCATTTGGGAACAGGAAGCATGTCATTTTACTTATCTGCATTGTTTTGGCATTATTTGCTCAAATGCGTAAAGTAAGAACGTTTTACTATTTTGTCTTTCAAAATATATGCATATTGAGTGTTTGGGCATTATGTTATAGAAACCCTTTGATCATTCCATATGAATACTTCCTTGAATTCTGCCAGTGTTATCAGCAAACAGTGATCCCAAGCTTGTAATAAAATGGGTCATGCATGGTGCATGTGACTTTGGTGAAACTTGTTCGAATTAAGGAGCTGAGGAATATTTGGCAACATGTTATCAGGAAAAAGAAGTTTGATACCAAGAAACAAGGGAAGTCTACTTATGAAGACAAGGCTGTTCAGGGAAATAGAGATGTCTGTCACGGGCATCAGAATACAGGTAACAGAGATCAGAATGGGAAACTTAATAAAAAGAGGAAGGATGAAGAAGATGAGAGTGAAGATGACGGACATGATCATGAAGATCCAGCAACACAGATCCAGCCTAACTTTGTTATTTTGTTACTGGTATGGTTTCTTTTGGACCTTATGCATCAAGAATTGCATGTTAATTATTCTATTCATCTATCTTCTATGGTCCTGTTCCACAACATCATGACATTGTTACTTTATATTCCATTATCTTGAAAGCAAGCTAATCTTTGCTTCCACAAATTTTACCTGCAGGTTGATAATATGATTATCAGGAAGAGGATTCATGTTCGCGTAGAGTATGTTCAGCCTTCTCGATGCAATGAGGAAATCAAGTATAGAACAGAAAAAATGATGAATTGAAGGCTGCAGCAAAGGCAAGAGGTGAGGTCAACAATACTAAGAGGCAACCTGAAGGGCCCAAACCAGGTTTCATGGTAGAAGGTGCAACTTTGGAGACTGTAACTCCAATTCCATAAAATGTGGTCAATGATCTCAAAGGGGGTTACTAAGTTTGTACTATGTTGGAGTTCTCTCTATTTGTTTATCGCTTAAACAATTGAAGACTAGAAAATCTGTTTTTCCCCTCATAGCCTTCAAATTAGTGCGGATTTGGTATTTTTGTAATATTAATAGAGGCATTGGCCATTGAGTTTTGTGTTTAATGAAAGTAATGTTGACAAAATGATGATGCGGTACCTGTTTCCAACAATTTTTGTTTACGTGCAATGTCAATTTTGTTGCCCCTGACTTGAGTGTGTGTTTTCTACGCGGGATATGTCGTAGCTTCTATGGATGAGCAATTTGGAAGTTCTTTGATATAACAATGTGGTTTACAGAAGCGTTGTTTTCGTCTTTGTAGAGTATTTTCGGAAACAAAGTTCCATATACAAATGTGGATGGTGTATAATCTCCACAAGAATGAATTAATTGAATGGCTGCCTTGGTTTTCTACTAGGAAAGATGAAGGTAAGTGGGGTAGGGAGACCAAAGAAATGGCTATGATGTCGTACTTGAGCGTAGATACAATTTGTTGCCATTTCTCTTGCAAATGGTTTTCATATGCAAAACAAAGCATGGAACAGACATAACTCCATGGACTACCGGTTTAACTCCATAGACTACCTGTTTAAGGATCCATTCCTTCTAAATTTTATTAATAATTCGCATACTTTTTCTGCATAAATTACAATTTTTATTACTTCATATATTTTATTTTGCATGTATACAAAAGTGGACAGGGCATTTTACATTTCCATCGCGCGAAGCGCATTTATGTCTTCTAGTCCAAAAGAAAAAAGACAAAAAAGCCAACGATCTCGAAGCTGGCCAACGTGGTTCGTTTATTTTTTATTAGTCTATTCATAATTCCCCCGAAAAGGTCAGCATAGACGGCAATCACGGAAAAGAAAATGATTCGTTTATTTTTTATTAGTCTATCCATAATTCGCCCGAAAAAGTAAGCATAGACGGCAATCACAGAAAAGACAGCAGATGACACGAGGATTATTGTCGGCACAACAAAAAGTTTATTTTATTAAACAATTTGATTTGTTTTAACTAACTCGTTTTGTCGTTTTGATCTCTTGTCCGTTATCCATATACTGATTTTTCTACTGAAAGCTCTGAAAAAATTCTATGTACGAATATTATTACACATATATTTTTTAAATGTACGACCAATATTATATAAATTTTCGATAGCATTATAGATGAAAAATCATTTGTGAATAGCACAAGTATATATATAAAGTTCGGAATTAAAGTACGGGTTAACTTGCTATGAATTTAGATGTTATGCCATTTAATACAAGTTTTTACTCACACTCTTGTGGATGAGATATTAAATTAGTTGTAATTTTATTATATTGTTGATATTTTCTGCATATATATATATATATATATATATATGATAAAGAGACTACCACAAATAATTTTGTTATTTTTTTACATGATTCATAACATATGTATTTATTCTAATAAAAATTTTAAAATTTTATCATAAATTAAATGTGATTCCTGAAGTATAAATTTCGAAAAGTTTACTACATCTTTTGTGCATCTAGTTGACAAAAATCTAGTTATTTTTTAGAGTATTTGAGAAATGAACAGAATGGGGAAAGTTTTTTAATTTATACTAACAGACATATACTCCACGAATATAATATGAATATTTGTTAGCTACTTTGCAGCATCGAGTAGAGAGTAGACATATATATCAATTATTGATGATCTAACAGAAATTTTTTTTTTTTTGGGTCACTTGTCATCATCTACATCTACACCTACTCCTACTCCTAATCTAGGGAGGTGAACCAACAGGGCCACGGAAAACCGACGGGGACTAAACCACCATCGAACCATACGGGTGCACAGCATCCATATGGATTTTAAGCAAAGCCACATTAAGTGCAAAACCACATTAAGTGACACTTTTTGATGGGAGACAAGGGTTGAACCCTTGACCTCCCACCCCACACTAAAGGGGATTGGTGATCTAACAGATGCTGTAGTACTTTTTAATTCATTTTGTTGTTTCAAGAAGTAAAAAAGTATTATTTTTTATCATCGGAAACTTTTGAACAATGCATTTGTCTCTCTCCTCATACTATGCTCCGAGAAATTTATTCCCACCCAGTTTGTTCATGAATCTTGACCATTTCTTTCCAAAAGATATAAAATCCTTTATAGCTCTTAATGAAAAGCATACATTTGCTTTAAATGCATGCTTAATGTAATGACATTGATCATAACCTCACAATTTCTAACTTTTTGCACTATATGCCACGAACAAAGTCTACGAGTATTTTGGTAATACCTTAACGATGGCAATTTTCGTTGCGTATATTAATCAATTGTAATGGCAATTGGAGAATGACTAGGCAAGCAAGTAAGCCAAGTTTTGAACAACCAAACTAAAGGAAAATACAATTTGAGTCCCCAATAAGTAACATATCTATTGTTTCAGTCCTTAAAGTTTCAACAAAAAGCAGATCTGGTCACCATTACTTAGTACCTACGCAGTTTTAGTCCTCCAAGTTTTGTTAAGAATAAATTTGGCTTCCACCATATCCAATTCAAGGCAAATTTAGGACATTTGAAGAATTTTTCTCAATTACTAATAAAATTTAGTCATGTACTCTAAAGCGTGCATTTAATGAAGTTTAGGACTAAAGAAGCAACATGGTGCTAACTTTAAACAATAAGATTAAGAATCAGCAACAAACGTGCTGCTCAAAAAAAAAAAAAAAAGACACGTGCTAACTAATTAACTACTACAAATGAAAAGAAATTGGTTAAACTACAAAATTGAAGCTAGATGTAGCGTCCAATTCATGATCCAGGATTCAATATTGCTTTATATCCCTACCGCCACCAAGCAAAATGCCCTAACACTCAAATTCTTCAAATAGTTTAACAAAATTTCATTTTTTCTTTGTATGTTTTGTGAATTAGTTACTGATTTATCATCATGTGAGTTATTGTTGTCATTCAAAGTTAGCCGCCGTTTTGCTTCTTTTTTTTTAAAAAAAAATTAATTTTACAAATACGTAACTGTACATAGTCATCACATTAGTAATTGGGAAAATCTATCAATTGTCTTAAATCTGTTTCAAAATAAAAACGTTTGGGGATCAGGCTTGTTTTTTGTCAATATTTTAGGGGCTAAAGTTGCATTAGGTGCCAAATATAAGGAATCGTATTTATTTTGGTCAAAATTTTAGGAACTAAAATCACACAAGTGCCACTATTGAAGACCAAACTGCAATCTTGTTGGGATTGTAAATTATTCGAGATATTTTTACTGTAACATTTTTTGTGATATGATGTATGTGAGATACAAAGGTAATTGGAAAGATAAAAAGCTATATTAGAAATTATAATGGTGATGTAAGCAAATATATTTGGGAAAATAATCCACTATCCAAACAAACCTGCATTTCTCCTACGAAATAAAGAGTTCACTTGTTTCATTTGTAAACAAATTACAGCCTAGCGGAACTAATTGACCTAACAAAAGAAGCAAATGACATATCACAGTACTTTGTCATGGTTCGTCCCCTCAAGCCACGCTTCACATACCAATTTTCAGGTAAAAGTATATGTCCGCTACACTTTATCATGGAATGCATATCATAAGCATTATATATTTCATTCTTTTTAGGTGAAAAGGATGCCTTTTCCAATGATTGAAGGACCACCAGCCAAAATGAGATTACCCTTGCATTAAAAGTACAGATTAAGAGACTTGAGGAAAGACAAGAATATGCCTATAGTAACGATACGGAAACTTTTATGTCAGATGGTAGTTGCTGTAGGAGGAGTTCTATGCGAGTATACAAGGTTCCATTTGGTTTTATTTAACATGTCAAATTAACCCCATTTAGCATGTGAATTAACAAGTGGAGCTTTTATACATCTGCATAAAATTTTTTCGTTGATTCTAGACTAACTATTAGATATGTTAAGTTGTTATTTTGGACCAATATAAAATGTCTTGAAAAATACCGATATAGTTAAGATACACAGCCCTTGTAATATGCTTTGTGCAAATCCCCTACACTTTCTAAAGATTACCGATATTTATATATCATCCTCTATAAATTCAATGCATCACTAGGCTAACAACACTTGAGCTGCATTTTTCCCGCTTCAATCCTCAATGGCAGTCAATCTTTTACTCCTTGCTTTCCTTCTCTTCTGTTTCATGGTAGTCAAAATTCTCAAAAGACCCTCTGGGAAAAATTCAAGATTGAATCTTCCGCCCGGGCCTAATCCACTGCCTATCATAGGAAACATACATGAACTTTTTGGCTCCCCAAACCCATTGTATCACTTGCTGAGAGACTTGGCAAAAGAATATGGCCCATTGATGCACCTGAAGCTTGGTGAGACGTCAAACATCATTGTCACTTCAGCCGAGATGGCCAGAGAGATTTATAAAACACATGATATCACATTTGCTTCAAGACCCTCTCATCATCCCGCATTCAAGATTGTTTCTTATAATTTCGCTGATATCATGTTCTCCCCCTATGGAAAATATTGGAGAGAATTACGAAAAATCTGCAACATGGAACTTCTTAGTGCAAAATCCGTGCAATCTTTCCGATCAATTAGAGAAGATGAGGTGTTCAATGTAATTAAATCGATTTCTTCACAAAAGGGATCAATTATGAATCTAACCAGAAGCATTTTCTCTCTCACTTATAGCATCACCAGCCGCTCAGCATTTGGCAAAAGAAACGAAGACACAGAAGAATTTATACAACTTCTAGATGAAACCAATGGTTTAGCAACAGGGTTTAGCTTAGCTGATATGTATCCTTCTGTTAAGTTGTTTCAAGTGATGGCTCCGATGAGATTTAAGTTGGAGAAAGCACACAAGGAGAGTGACAAAATACTTGAAAATATTCTCAATGAGCATAAAAGGAACAGCAAAGAGGCAATACAGGGGGGTGGAGAATGCAAGGAGGATCTCGTTGATGTTCTTGTCAATATTCAGAAACGCGGGGACTTTGAACCTCAGCTAACTGATACAAACATCAAAGCGATCATGTTGGTAAGTTAAACTTAAAATCACTAGATTTTTAAGCTTTGCACTTCACTTTTATATTTTTTCTAGGGTTGATCATAACCATATGTTTGACTACTGGTCCATTGGTATAAAAGCCGCCATTCTGTCATTTGGCTCCGACCTTTCTTCCATGAACTATTGGTCGACCAGAGGCAGAATTACACTGGGGGCACGCAATAGGGAAGTGGGGGCACATGCACTGGCCCCTTCAAAATTGTGTAATTACCCTTATAGTTCTTTAACCTTTTAATCTTTGCCCCCACTAATTGAGAATTGAAACTTCACATTTATCTAATTTCATAACTTGATGGAAATGGATTTTGGAAATCCAATAACCTCTTGCTTTAATTATTTAGCTTCTCTTTAACTTGTACCTTATTACGTAAAAGTCAAGCATTGTAGCTGAAAGTTGTACGGACTTTAAGTAAAACAAAATTTAATTTGCCTAGAAATAGCTGTGTTCCTTTAGTTTATTATGCAATCTATTGTTACAGCACAAACAAGCATCTACTATATATCTTCTGACCAACTCTTCTTCTTCTCCTCAAGTCATCTCCTCAACCCCGTCACCTTCTCGTGGAGTTGCAAACAATTTGAAGTTTTTTGAAGTGCAAAAGTTTGAAAATTTATCGTAGAAGTGTCAAAATAGGTGATTTTGGGTTAATTCATTTTATAAATAGATATGAGTATATTCAATTACCCATTTTTGACTTGAAATTTTACTAGCCTTCTTTTGGATGTTGTTGGATAAGAAATAATGATATTTTATTTTTATTGGGTTGGTAAGAAATTCAAATCAACTTAACACCCAAAATTGAATTTGAATGTGCAATTATTTTCAAAAGGTTATAAATGTATAATATGATTCAATCCAAATTAAATGGATTTAATTGAGTCACCCATTTAAATCCATTTAAAGTTCATTGCATACCCAAATTCACTTATTAGTAGATGGATTTGAGCAGGTCAATATAATTGGGTTGTAATTAAAATCTATAATGTGTCCAAACAATTGTAAATGGTTCTATATAATTTTTGAAGGAAAGCAATTTTTTTATTAGTGAATTTGTGCATGTCACTTTAAGTGAAATTTTTCATGCAATAGTTGTATTGTTTTTTTAAAAAAAGTTGTATTATTTTGAATTTATTATTATTTTGAATTTATTATTCAAATATTGTTGGTATGTCCTATATTTGGAGGAAAACAATAAGCAAACATATTGTGTGTTCTTTTTGCCCTAGTGAAACTTATTTCTGGCTCCACCGCGGTGATCGACCAGCATCATTTTTCATGGATACATAATTTATAGCCATTTTCGGGGAGATTTGCACAATAGTTGTAGATGGACGTCAGCGAATTGTTTTCTTAAGCCATGTGTGAACGAAATTAATTTATATAGCAGCTGATGACAAAATGACTAAAATTTGGGGAGGAAGACATGATTAAATTAAAGTGATTCTTTGAGGTCTTTATTGCTGCTGCATGCAAATTAACATGCAAGTAGATATATACTTAATGTTAGGGATGGCAACGAGTGTGGGTGCCCGTGGGAGTCTATTGGGGCTGGGGCGGGGGGAATTTTTTCCCCCCGTTTAGACCCCTGACCCGCCACCCGTTTGGGAAAAAAAAAAAGATATATATATATATGTGCATAATTATATATATAATGATATTATCAATTATACTACTAATTATACATGTCTATTAATAAAAATTATTAATTATTTATACTAAATTTATTAATACATTTATATTAAATTCCTAATTACACTTAATACCCCCGCGGGGGAAACGGGGTGGGACGGGGCAAGCGGGGGGTGGGGGCGGGGGGAATTAATAGGCAACGGGGCAGGGGGTGGGGGAGGGATCCCCCGCCCCACCCCTGGCAATCTCCCCCGCCCCACCCCCGCTCCATTGGCACCCCTACTTAATGTGTGGCACGACGAAATTGATACAGCTTCACTGAACCCTCTTCAAAGATGCATGATGTATGTTACAGCGGAACAGTGCATCCTAGAACATCTCCTCATGATCCTGTTCACTATTAGTTCCTAAAATTTTTCAACACATTTTTCACTGCCCTAAAATCATTTTTACAGGTGATCTAGTTGATCATGCCGCCTTTCTGAATCGAATTATTTCCATTCCTTATGTGTGCATAAAAATGATCGAATTACCAAAACCGAAACTGCTACCAAGATATATTATAAACAATTAAGAAACCTAATTCAAAAGTTTTTGAAGGTGAACAACAGAAGGAACAAATCCAGAAGTCCAATTACATCCAAAGTGATTGGATATTCTATCTGAGAATAGTCACATGGTCCGAGTGACAAATTTTTATTTTCTTTAGACAAAGAAGGAAAAAAAACCAGATTCTAGTTTTAATTATTTTAGTCAATCATCACACCATGAGTTCATTTAGGGATCTAAGTGTTGAATATGTGATATTTATTCGCACATATTCTTATTTATGTTTCAGGACATTTTCTCTGCTGGAAGTGAGGCATCAGCAGCAACCATCGAATGGGCGATTTCTGAAATGATTCGAAACCCACAAATAATGAAAAGGGCACAAGATGAGGTAAGAAATCACTTTGATAACAAAGGAAATGTTGATGAATCACGCCTTCATGAGCTCAAATACTTGCATGCAATCATTAAGGAGACCTTGAGGCTACAACCAAGTGTTCCACTCTTATTGCCAAGAGAATGTGCTGAACAATGCGACATCAATGGTTTTCAAGTGCCAGCGAAGGCAAGAATCATCGTTAATGCATGGGCAATTGGCAGAGATCCCAATTACTGGAGTGAAGCTGAGAAATTTAACCCTTCACGATTTCTTGATTCGAAAATTGATTTTAAAGGGGATGATTATGAATACATCCCATTCGGAGCTGGAAGAAGGATTTGCCCAGGCATATCATTTTCTCAGGCATCTATTGAGCTGACACTTGCACAATTATTATTCCATTTTGATTGGAAGCTCCCTGGTGATCTAAAACAAGAGGAATTAAACATGGCTGCAAGATTTGGCGTGACAATGAGGCGGAAAAATGATCTGCTTTTGATTCCAATTCCTTACAGTCGTTCTTGCTTGAGGATGAACAATTTCAACCTGTAGAAATCGATGCTTCATTGTGCTAATATATGCCATCCCATTCACTTTACTTTCATGATAATCTAGTGTGTGAAACCAATTTCAAGTGTGTAACTTTGCTTGAATTTGCGAAATCTGTTTGCGTATGTGAAATTTGGTGGAGTGATCCGCCATCAGGATAAGAAAAATGCTATTTTCAATATATAAGAAAAAGTACTGGAATAAAAGGTTTATGAACTAATGGAGTTGGCCAAGTAGTCACAAAAATGCTCTTAGAATTCTTTTCGCTATTAAGTTTAGGATTTAAATCCTGAGTTTAACAGTTGGGGGTGAGAATAGTGTGGAAAAGGGTGAGAGGTTAATAAAAATGAAGAAATAGAAGGTTTATGATCTCGTATTCCTTTCAAGATATATGTGCCTTCATAACATATCCCTACTCAATATATATATACACACATGTCCAGCACACACCTGGAAGGACAGTTTTACGATACCATATTCCTTTTAAGATGTATTCACTATTATAGGTACCCCAATTCAACAGCTAAAGGTTTCTTGTGCAACTTGAACTAGTAGACCTTGACACCATTATGGTTTTTTATCTTTCCGGGGGAATTTATTCTCGAGAAAAACATGGAACAATCGATACAAGCTAGTACAATTGAGTGCCAGTTACTGCATAACGAACTAGAGAGACTCAAACCTTGAAATCCAACAATATCAAAAGTATCCATGTTCTTAACACCATAGTCAAATGTGATAAAGTTATCTTTGTTAAAATCTGATTTGCACTTGCAGCATGAATAACCATAGTTTAAGTCCAGAGTAGCATTAAAGAAAAATCTGATGGCACACGAGTAGCCTTATGCACTGAAGCTCCTATATCTTTAATGGTTGGTGAGATTTACAATTATATTACAGATTTCCCGTGTAAGTGTTCCTTTTTCAGGCTTTAATCACCGTATAATAAATGATTATTAAGCACAAGTGTAATATCACTAAAAATCATTCACTTGTCATACTACTAAACACTAGTCATAAGGTTTAATGAATCTTGTCAGTCCATATTCTTTAATTCTCAATGTAAGATTCTAATTACATTTAGTATCATCAATATTTGATTACCAACTAAATATCAATCAAGCCCATTCACATGACATTACTAACCAGCAATTAGGGTATTACCTTTTCAATCGAGCCTTGTTTTCTCCAAAACAACACCTATTAAAGTAAGCATTAGATTTATATACTCTACACATAAAACTGAATCATATTTCTTTCTCTGTCAAATTGACAAACACAGAGGTGAGTTTGAGGGAGAGGGTAAGCAAGCTTTCAGAAGAGGAAAAGAGGGAACAGAAGGAACTTCGAAGTCGAATAATAACTCGTGACTGCAACACAAGGCTCTAAGATTTTCATTCTTTTTATTCATCTAGTAAAGTCAATTCAGATTTTAACTCTATGAATTGTAATAGAACTAATAGAACATCAAAACTTGAGAAATTTTTGATTAAATCACTTAATAAGTTCGTGTCATGATCAATCTATTTGAATGTGCCTTGATTAATATGGTAATATCACTAATTCCTTAAGAGATCGTTTTAGGACCGTGAGACCATTTAAGAACGCAACTCATACATGATTGGTCACACCTCATCCATAGTAGTTTTCTTATTACTGTGCACATTTCATTACATGGATTTGGATTTATCATGGATTATGATTACTGGTAGAAGTCCAATTATAAACGGATTCAGAATAAAGTAACAAGACGACTAGTAATCTTTGGAGTAGTCTCTAACCAGTAGCTTCAAATGTTCACGAATGCCCTTTTGGACTACTGTCGATAGAATGAAGCAATTCATTTACATTTACTATAGTTAGTATGAATCAAATTTGGTTCTTAGTTTTAGTGCTTTTTTTAAATAGATTATAAATTATGCGAATCTGAAGCAATCCATAGTCTCTGACCGAAACCTTGTAAACTATTTTAGTGTCATCACATCTAAACTATTCATGTGTAAGGCTGAATTTTCAGCATTCACTGTTCTATTCTTGTTGCTATTATTACAAGTTACAATTGTTCCGAAGTTATTTTATGATCATTACTAGTTATCCTTAGCTTAATGACTGTGGTAGCATCTTAGGAAAAGGTGAACCTGAATGCTTTATTAAAGTTTCTTTTGAAAACACAAACTCCCATTTGAAAAGAAAAGGCTACTAAGACAACAACAACTTGTTATGATTTTCGTTAACGACGTTACTAGTGGCAAGCACTTTTGAGAAAAGTATTAATTACTATTAATATAGCAGCCTAGTTTCATAATTATTATGTATTTTTTGGAATTGCCTCATTTAGTATAAAGGTTAAATTTTAAACCTTTTAATGTACTCAAGTTACTATTAGGTTATAGCAACAATTACAATTGTTTCAAGGTCATTGACATTTTAAGAAGTTTTCCTAAAATAAAAGCTATTTTTCAAAAATAAGTGACTTTCTAAAGTTATGAATTTCTTTAAATGCATGGCCTTCCTAAAAGAAAGACTTAACTAAATTAACTAAACTTTTCTTAATGATTGACTTTCCAAGAATATTGACCTAAATTGGGATGCTTTCCAAATTTTGTTAGACTTACGAAAAATAGTAACTTTCTAAGAAAAAACTTTCTAAAATAGGAAAGTTACTTAAAGTGGAAATATAAAATATAGAAACTTTATTCGTTTGGGAATGTTAAGTGTCCTATAGTTAAACATATCTATGGGATGCATTAAAGAAATAAGTGATAAACTATCAATGTATAGATGGAATGCTATTGAGATGCTTTTAAAACTTAACTTTCTTACCTCAAATTATGTATGAGGCAAATAGGTGATACTTGAATGTTTGAGTGATGTATATCCTAATTTTCACTCTTATGAGAATAGAACACATGAATTTGGAATGCCTAGTTGTTTTGAAATTCTATTCATATATATTCTATGTGTGAATATATTTTTCAAAATGATGATTTTGAACATATAATTGCTTGATCTTGATTGACAAGTAGATATTTTACATGTTTTTAGTGTTCTTTATTGTTAGTTTTGGTGTGTTTTAACTACTTTTATAGCTAATTAACTAGGAATCTAGTGAAAGTATGCATTTTGTAGTTTAAAGTGTGAAAATTGCATTTATATGGATTTTAATGGTAAAAACTTCATGTTTTGTAGGTTTAATGATTCAATCATCAAATGGAGTGTATTGAGAAGATAATTTGATGATTGATGATGATTTGAAGTGGTTAAAAGAGAATATGAAGTGCAAAAGAGGAAATGCAATCAAGAACAAAAGGAGAAAAATTTCACAGCTTTGACACCTTGTGGTATTTCGGCTATATCTTGAGGAGCAAATTATCCGGTTGGCCACTAAACTTTTGCAATCGTCGAGTTTTGGCCATTCAACTATTAAAAGTCTAGTTTTGGCCACTAAAATGCATAAAATTAAAACTCGTGGCTATTCTGTTAGATTTGGCCGTTAAGTTCACCGATCTGTCTGTCTGCACGAATTTCAAAACAAAATGCAGGGTCAATTTAGGAAGTTAAAAATAGCATCTTCTTCTTTAGGGCAAGTTCCTCAAGTTCCTTCCTCAAGCCCAGAAGCATTGGTGATTGAAGTGGGAAAGATTCCAGAGAAATTGTTTTCCGTAACAGCTATTAGTTTTAGATTTGGTAGGGTGAGACCCACATCAATTGGGAGATTGCCATGGAAGTCATGGTATGGAACTCCAAGTAGTCCTTCCTGCAACAGAGTCAAAGCTGCCGGAATGCTGACTCTCCTAGTCAATAGGGCTATTCAAACCAATCCACCCTAAGCTGTTACAGAAGGAGTTGCAGATCTGATCCTAGAAGCTCCACCAGTTGCCGGTACTATTTCATCACCTGTGGGATGCTTAGACGGATCTTGGGCTAGCACGGGCTGTAGGCACTCTTTGGGCGGAGCTCTCTCGATCCACTAACTGGCTTGGGAAGATAGCAAGAAGTCTGAGCCTTCACATCCATTTCGAGAGAAGCCTCAGTGGATTGAATCCCCGTTCATTCGAGAAATAATGGAACCAACCTTTTCAAAAGCCCCACCTCCAGAGGCAAATTCCCTCCAGATTGTTGAAGTCAAGGCCAAGTCCGATCAATGATGATGATAAGATCCCAATGGGAGAGGGAATCTCTCCTGTCAGATTGCTTTTGGTAAAATATAATGGTTTAAACTTCTTCAAATTGTTTAGCTGATCGATTGGAGTATTCCCTTCTAGCTTGTTACTGGTTAGGTCAATAGCTATCATCTCTGCGCAGTGGCTCAGATTTTCTGGGATTTTTCCACTAAGTGCATTACTCGACAAGTTCAAGACTCTTAACTTGAGGAGGCGAACGAATTCTTGGGGAATCCTACCATGGAATTGATTCTCCCCAAGTTGGATAAACCTCATGAAGCTTAGATTTCTGACCTGATGAGATATAGTTCCAGACAACTGCTTACTCCTCAAAGTCAAAGCAATGACCCTTTGGTGTCGAGTACCACAAGTGACTCCTTCCCACTGGCAATGGTGCTGTGAGTGGTTCTAGGAATCACCAAGAACCGTTTTTGTTCATTTCTCAAATGTTTGATGTTTGGGTTTAAGCAAAAACAAAAGGAGGGCAAAGAACAAATGCATAGGAAAGGACGAAGAGATGCAAGTGCTATTTTTAACTTCCTAAATTGACCCTGAATTTTGTCTTGGAAATCGTGTGAACAGACAGATCGACAAACTTAACGGCTAAATCTAACAGAATGGCCACGAGTTTTAACTTTATACATTTTAGTGGCCAAAACCATACTTTTAATAGTTGAGTGACCAAAACTCGATGATTGCAAAAGTTTAACGGCCAGCCGAATAATTTGCTCTATCTTGAGCTACAATGATCAGATTGAGGTGATGATAGCATCATAGTACGTGATCACGTCTACAATGGCTCGAGTGATCAAGGGGGTGAGGATCGCGTGCAAGCCCCAA